CCACACTCAGAGGAAAAATATTGCATTGTAGTGCTGGAGACAGTATTTCTGAGTCCCCATTATACTCACTCCTGTCTAGATATTAAAGGTAGCATTATTTTTGTCGTGTAGCTGGAGTCAATGCACCAACTCTTTGTTTATTGTAGCATTCCTCTGCGACTGACCAGCATGACTGATGAATGCCAGTTCACATTTCTAGAAAGCGTATTACAGTAAGAGGGAGAAATCTGAGGATATTAGAAAAGAGCAAGCTGTCCTACCTGTCATAAATGTCAGCAGGCTGTGAATCAGTTTGCAATTCTGCTACAGAGCACATTATCACGTCTACATTTTATTACTGAAGCTATGACATTGTACAAGAGAAATATCAGAAGGTCTTCAGTTTTATTAGTTTTTAAAAATAATTTCCATCTTTTTGTGATTTTTTTTTTCTAACCACATTTATGTTTCTGTTTTACTGGTTGACAAGGGTTGTGCACCATACAACGGACATATACTTAATATATGAGACTAATAATTGCACAAACCAGACAGTGATTGGCTTATATATGCGCTGCCAGCGTAAGAGTTCATATTGTTGCTTTGTCTTCTCTTTGGTATCAGATTTTTGGTTTGGCTGGAGCATTTTCCACCATGGTGTATGGTACTACACTATGAGACAAGTTTAAACTTGCAGTTTAGGCATAGCTTGCAGAATGCCATCTAGCACAAATAGTAACACCCCTATGGTTTTTAATAATAATGCATGGTGGCATAACAGAAAAGGGTGTTAATCGTATTGCATATCCCTAAGGAAGGGAAATTTTAGTGAAACTAAATACCTGAGCTCAGCAGGTTTCTGGGGCGCCCTGTAACGTCAGGTAGGCCTGGGGATGCCAGGCCCATTTGTGTGGGCTATGTATTGGCCAGGGGTCAACCCGTTCTGCCGATCTGGTATCGCATTTATTGTCGTCCCTTTGGGACCTAAGGAGCTGTTGGTTTATCCATAATGTTTGTATGTCTGGACTGGCAGTTTGTTCCAGCAGCAGGGCTGCTGCTCAGAATACCCCTGCAGCATGCGATCACCTCACCAGAGGTACGACGCTTGGCCACTTGCCTCCTACCTGTTGCAGTTTGTTTGGGTTTTATGCCAGTATTGCTCTCTCCAGCAGCACGCTGGCTTATGTATTCGTGTGCAGCCTAGGACCAATTAATAACACATGTGATGTCCCAGTTCACTCTTTGGCAGTATTAGTCACGCTGCCTGTCAAGAACACCTCTGAACTAATGGCACTGTTTGTACAGACTTTTCCTGGACAAATCCTCTCTGCTCAGCCTGCCTCCAGATACTTGCAAAGTTATGTTTCCTTAGCAGTTGTTGAACAGCGTTGAGTATTGTCTCAGCTTGGGCCTTTACCACAAGTACATGCAGCTTCATGGGTCCTTTTCTTAAAGACCAGCAATATGAATTCTGCATGGCTGCCACGTTGGTCTCTTGCTGCGTGTTCAATAAAGTCTGCAGTCTCTGGGCAAAATTCCTCTAAGTACATTGCTGCCTTGCCCCGTCCTCAGCAGGTGCTTAGTGCTTCATCAAAACATTAATTCTAGATCTTTTACCATGAGCAATCTGAGTGTTTTGCCTGAGGATCAAATTGCGACCTTAACAGGTCTGGTTAGGCCTAAGAGTTGCAAGGTTGGCTTCTACCTATCAGTTGGAGGATGGAGTTAGAAAGCTCCCGCACCGAAAATTGTAAAGTCTGTTTAAGCTTGCCTTGCTCATCTGCTCTGGTTTTGTACTGAGTTCAGTACAGTTCAGATTTCTAGGGAAGTTTCATGGGTTTGCCTGCTCTGAGTGAACAAAAACTGTTGAACAAGTGAAAAAATTCATGAGGCGTTACTGCATTCACAGGACTCCTGTCCAGGTGCCTTACTGAGCTGCTGGCACCCTCGGACATGATGCTTGAGCCACCTGTCCTTCTCCTCCCAAGTTGCAGTTTAGACAGATCTTCAAGGTCTCCGTTCTGCCACTCGCTCGCTGTCTCGGCGCGGTGCGGGACGCGTGCCCGCCTGCC